TCACATCATAGATAATATCTGTACCATGGCAGAGGTATGTTTGAGACAGTTTAGCTCCGGGTTGGGTGGCCAAGGCCTTTATACCCACCTGATGACCGTTGGGAGGGGCGAGGCCCTTTCTACCCCATCGGCGTGTGCACACGAGCGGCTACGGCCGAGGGTCTTTTGACCACAGATCAGAACAGAAATCAAAGATCAGTTTACAGTTTCAGCTCTTATATATTTATGTTTCATGATACGTTATTATAGATGATGTTTTGTTCAGTACTGGTCTTTGCGGAGCATAGTGGTTTGCTTACGCCCCCATTGTGTTTTTCAGGAGACGGAGTCGAGCGTGCTGGATGAGCACAGATGTGGCGCAGCGTGGTCATGAGAGTCGGACATATTTTACCAGCATTTTTATGTCCTAGTTTTATGATCATGTATATTATTCAGTTTATGTATGCATGTTTATGTATTCGTATTTCGGATGCTTCCGCCAGCGAGTTTTTCTAGACAGTGCGAGACAGTACAGACTATGCATGTATAATTTCATAATCCGCGAGCGGACAGTTTGGTTGCATGTTTTATTATGTCTGTGGGTAAGCCCAAGTTTCAGTTTATGTTTTTATCTGCCACATCCCGCAATAAGCCAGTATTTTCGAAAACCCAGCTCGCACGTTCTTTCGAAAATAAAAACAAAAATTTTACTCTGATTTTCAAAGCTAGTAGTAAGGCGGGGTGAGACACATTCCATATGAGCTTTTATCGTTAAAATGTATAGCGATCTGTTATGACCTTATCCCATTGATATTTCCATGAAGCGTCCTTATCGCGTTCTATTTTTTGGTAACCATTCTATATCAATAACCGGATATTTGGTTAATGATAGCACACGTCTTTATTTTAAGGAGCGGATATTCTTTGACCTTTAATTAATCTGAACTGATTGCCTTGACTTTTCAATTTTTACAAACTCTTTTTTTAAAAACTCTTTTTTTATCGCACATTGGTCTTTTCCTAAAGAAACCCGTTTTTAGTCACGACCAATTATATGTTGCTGCTTCGCGTGTAAATAATAGAAGGGGTTTGAAAATATTAGTTTGTGATAATGAGGAGTTACTAAATAATCAAACTCATAATGTTGTGTACAAGGAAGTTTTTAATAATTTATGATTGTTACCGAACTTTTTATGATTCAACAATGTTCCTATGTATTTTAATGATTTCAATTTCGATCCTAATGCACGTGAGATTATATTATTCTTCCAAATTTTACATCCCGTGCATTGCACGGGTTACGTACTAGTACTTATAATATCACATCTCTATTTGTTATCAAATTATTTTCGCGTAATAATTAGGCATGCTTTTAAAACAGTATGTTTGTTAAAAAAGTTGAAATTATCTAAAATTGCTGAAAAGAAAAAAGTTACAAATTATTTTCGCGTAATAATTAGGCATGCTTTTAAAACAGTATGTTTGTTAAAAAAGTTGAAATTATCTAAAATTGCTGAAAAGAAAAAAGTTAAGCATGAGTTGGAAATTACATTAAATCAACCACCATTTGCGCCTTGCTTTGAGCAGAAATTTGGTGTGGTGTGTGAACATGCCTTATATCTGTTATCGGCATAGTCTCACTCGCACCCTTTGGTTCACATGGGAACTGGGATGGCATACAGCATATCCTTTTTATCCTCAAGAGTATTCAATATTGCATTTTGACTGTACGCGCAACCTCAGTTCATTGACTAATGAATTTAATCCCATCGAGAGTTTTAATTACTAAGGAACAGCTTATTTTCAACGTTAAATAAGATAAAAATAAGATTGCATTGAAAATTTGTATCGGAGACTAGCTAGTTCATCATTTTTGTCTCTTAATTTGTTTCCATATATTGTTTAATATGTGAACATCTATTGCTTGAACCATATTAATTCCAAACTTTATCCAAACGGAATGTTAAAGTCGATAAAAAAATTAATCGCATTATGGGTCTAAACAATGGTAATTCTTCAAAATGCACCATACGTGTTCTACGAGCTAGGCAATAGCTTCCAATTACTCGATCCCTAAATGCATATGTTCCTCCTGCATCTCGATCTATGATAAAAAGTCCATAAAATTGGCTCTAGTTTACTATATTCTTTGTTACATTAACTCAGACGACAAATCAAGTAAATAACCTAAAACCTCCTCGATTTGATTTCCCAGTGCTTTTCACATATGTTGCTTTGAAGTTTCATAATGTAATGTTGCAAGTCATAAAATATTCGTCAATTGTGTCCAACTCCTCCCGAGCTGCACTTGTATATAACTAGTCCATGTCATATATAGGGCAAAACTAAAGGATGAATTAACCTTGCATAAAACTACAGAATTCCTCATTGCTATGTATGTTATAATATTATAATTTACAAATCTCGCTAGTGTACTGATCACGTGAACCTTCACATTATCATTATTATTCAGTACATATATATATATATATATATATATATATATATATATATATGTATATGTATATATTTCCCTGATTTGGGAAACAACACAACCATACAAGATTTCAAATCTCACAAGCTCTCATCAACACAAAGACTCATATATAATGTAGTAATTAGACTCATAAGCAATTACACAAATATTAATTATTCCCACTACTAAATTTGTGGCAAATCGCCAGTGCATTGCTAGTCGCCATGGACATGTTACTGACCCGCGCGTAAATCAAGGGCTTGAGCTCACTATTTTGCGCCTCGCCCGAGAAGCCGTCGTTGCACGTGCTCTCGCCAGTCAGCGCAGCACTAACCCAAGTCATAACATTACTCCAGCGCCAGGACAACTCTGCACTAGTCGTGGCTCGACCCAATTTCCTAAGCTCCATAATCGAGTCATTAAGCTGTCCCACAGTATTGCCCACCACCTCCAAGCAGTCCTTGAGGGCCGCTTTCTCCCTTGGACTGAGCCCACTAGGGTACTTAGCGACCGTGGTCAGGAAATATTGGGTTTCTCGAGCCCTTTTGGCACTAATGGATAGGGCCATCATGGCTAGCAGTCTCGGGCTTTCCTTAACCTTCCAAGCATAGGGTGCTAGCGAGTTCACACACGCGGAAGAGTCTAAGGCGTCGTGGCATGAGCTTCTTATGAAATCCATGGTGTTGGCGGTGGCCGAGGGGCTTAGAGCGTATAGGAAAGAGACGAATATCATCAGTGACAATTTTAGAGTAGTTTGTGTTGCCATTTTTTATTTTTTATTTTTTTATAGATTTTGCTTTAGGGTTTGGAGAGTGAGAATGAGAGAGAGCTTGGGTGTGGCAATGAGTTATGAGGCTCAACAACCATATATGTATATATATTTATAAAGGGCAAAATGAACAATTCATCTCATTTGCAAAGGGGTCTACTACATGACATTGATTTGCTACCTGTGTGCCCGTGACTGGATATCAATTGGACCATTTCTAGTTGGAAAACGACAAACCAAGGTCCAACATGTCTTGCATAAATTAAGGTTCAATTTCCACGGTATTAATTAATAAGGTGATTTTTTTCTAAACGAAAATGTTCCGCCTCCCGACATTGTTGAAGGGATAATAATTAATCTGTCTCTGTCTACCCATTTTTGGTCAAATTTTCGCTTTCTTGGTTTTGTGGTAATATTGCAAAGTGGATTTTAGGGACATGATTTGATCAAATTATAGCTTTTTTAATTTGAGTCGAGAATTAAACAACGCGTGTTATTTTAACGAAACCAACAATTGTCGACATTGGTAATTTAACACAATTAGTACGAATCCTATATGATGCATGGGTAAAATATTGATACTGTCATAAATAGCAATTCACCAAGGATCGGTCATGGCCGAGGAATAGGAGCTAGCTTGAGCACTTCGGTGCCACACCAAGAGATTGGTGAGCTCGGATGTGATAACCTAGGCAACTTGGCACCTAGGCACCTCAGCACCTAGACAGGGACGGAGCCAGGTGTAGACATCAAAATTTGTTCACGGATAAAATGTCTTGGTAGTGAATGAGTCTCACCAAGATTTTTAACTTACCTCTAAAATTATAGCAGATATCAAATAAAAATTTTGATAAAAAATACTACCTCCTATTCTTTTTAAATGTCATTTTGGCTTTATTAACTATTATCCAAATAAATGTCGTTTTAGATTTTTTGTACATATTTTTCCATTATTACCCTCATTTAGTTAATAAATACACTATATCTTTTCATATTCACTCTTCATTTTTTCCCAAAACACCATTCTCTATCTTCATTAAAGAAGGTTATTCTTAACAAAAAAAATATCCTTAGTAATTGTGCAACTTCTTAAAACGACATTTATTATGAATAGGAGGGTGTATTATTTTTTAAGTGTTTTTGCGATTTTTTTTTAAATATTAACTAAAATATATTTTTTAGTTTAAATTTAGGAGTTGACTTAAAAGAGTCAATCACACTTCATTATAACATCACAAAAATAGAAATTAAAAAGAGAAAAACTGAACATTATTAAGAACAAATTTAACTTGTTGAACAATTATTTCTCAAATTTAATGAATTATTTAATTTTATCAATATAAAATCCCTCAAATATTGATATCTTTGATATGATTATTTAAATTTAAAATGGTTCGATAATTTATTTGATGTGATTATGCCAAATGTTTTTAATTAGTTAGACTAACATTATAAATATTGTTCTATTTCAATTATAATTATACATATAATTAAAATTATTTTAAGTATATACTTTATATATATATATGGTACACCAAAATTCTACCCGGGCTAAAGCCCGAGAGAAGTTATATGTGGCTCCGCCACTGCACCTAGGCACCTCGACCAAAGGGTTGTGCCTAGGGGACCAGGGCCTGGAGGTAGCTTTGTGATCAAGTTATGGGAAAGTTGGCAACGTTAAGAAGTGTGATGACTCGGAGATATTTTAACCTAATTAAGAGATAGACACCAAGAAGACTTCTTGTCCAACGAGAAATCCTCAACCCAGGCGTAGCCTCAACTATAAAAGGGGCACAGGTTCATTATTTTTACACAGCACACTTACACGCGTGAATTAATTTACTCTCTCGACTTATTTCTACTGGACGTTGGGCTGACTTGAACGTCAGAGTGTTTTCCGTCGGGACCCCTCCCGGCGTTTTGCAGGTCGTCGAAGGCATAAAGGCAGTTCAAACTAGCTAGGCGAGCTTCAACCCTGTCGAGGTATAATTTGCGCAACAAATTGGCGCCGTCTGTGGGGAAACTCAGTCTTCTACCGTGATATTAAGAGGCTGATTTTTCTCACCCAAACAAAATAACAAATGAAGGAGCAGATAGAAAAACTATGTTGGGAGATAACTCGAAGAAGAGCTTGATTAAGGATATGGATGAGACATTGACTAAGAGAGCATTCAGGACAAGGCCGCCACCACTAGCTATCACCCCGAAGAAAACCCTACCAACACCCGACGATGAACCCTAGAGGGTCAAGTGGCCAAAGGAACAAGGATAAAGAGCTCGGCCCTGATGCCGACGGAGTGGTCGATAAGTAGGTCGACATGGGCTCGGGTGGAGGCGAGCAACATGCGAGCCGTCAGGATATATGACAGACAGATGGTAGTGGTCGAAGGGCAGAACCTCCTGGAAAATCACCCCCCCCTCCAACACCAAGGGGGATCAAGTCATTCAGATGACCAGGTCGGAGTTGGATCGGATTATTGCTGAGGCGATAGGCCGAGCTCAAGATGTGGATATGAGAGCTCCTAATGTATTATTTCTACAGCCGCTGCCGCAGTAGCCATCTGCGCCTCAGCAGCCGCACCAGCGTTAGGAGAGAGGCGAGGATGATGACACCAGATCGGTACACTCCTGTCCGACTGCACCGACACAGACGGATTGGAAAGGTTGGCAGCTCAGACGCGGGAGCTGCAAGCTCGAGTTCATGGCAAGAGGCCCACAGTTTCACGAGGACATCCTTTCGCGGAGGAAGTCCTAGGAGGGGATTTGTCGAGTAACTTCAGAGAACTAAGTTTATCTTACGACGGGGGGAAAAACCTAGCTAGGCATTTGAGATCGTTTGATAACATAGTCTTGCTGCACAGATATAGCGACGCTGTCAGTTGTCGAGCTTTTTTGACAACGTTGAAGGGGTCGGCGCAGGATTGGTTCCACCAACTGCCGGCGGGATCTATCGATAGTTTTGAGAAGTTTAGTTCTCTGTTCTTGAACCAGATTGCGGGCGCTAGGAAGCATGAGAATACATATCTCTAACTAATCAACACGCAGCAGAAGGAGGGGGAGACCTTGCGGTAGTATGTGGCACGATACACTAAGGAGTGTTTGGAGGTTCCTTCTGCCTCAAAAGAGATCAATGTTGGAGGTCTCACCGGGAGTTGAGGCCTGGAAAATGTAGGGATTTGTTGGCGAAGAGGCCGGCGAGGTCGTTTCACGAGCTCCTTGAAAGGTGTAGTAAGTATGTGAATATGAATGAAACAGAAGCTGAATTCATCCACAATGATAAGACGAAGGCGAAGCAGACGGAAGAGAAACCCCGTCAAGTTGATCGACGAGCTGCCCAAACAGAGTCAAAATCTGAGGATCGATTCAGGGGTCCGAGGTATGAGCATTACAAGCCTGTTAATGCACTGCAATACAAGATCTTGGAGATGATGGAAAAGCTAGGAGACGCCAACTTTCTCGCACAACCTAAGCCTCTCCCCCCACCACGGAAATTTTTGGCAGGAAAAGACTGGTACTGTCAGTACCACCGTGACTACGGCCACTCCACCAAATTCTCCCGAGAACTGAATGATGAGATTGTGCGGCTCATTAGGGATGGACCCTTGAAATATTTGTGGCGAGAGATAAGGAGAGCTAGGAGGAGCGCCATGAGGGGCGTAAGTTAGGCGACAAACGAAAAAGGTTTGATGAGCAACCTGATATGCCGATACAGATGGGGGTAATCCACATGATCGCAGGAGGCCCTACAGATGGACATTCATATAAAGAAAGAAAGAGCACTTACAGAGGGAAAGGAGTTTCTCATGAGGTGTTCGAGTGGCTAGCTATGATGTGCATAGAGTGCTCATAGACACAGGGAGCTCGGCAGATATTATTTTCTTGAAGTACACCGAATGGAGTTGGACGCGAAGATTGATCCAGTCCATACCGCTTTGTATGGTTTCAGCGATAGTGAGGTTCGCCCTATTGGCGAAGTTAGTTTGACTGTGGCGTTAGGGAGGTCACCTATGAGGAAGGTGAAGATGGTCCGTTTCTTGGTTGTGGATGCTAGTTCGGCGTACAACATTATACTAGGACAACTGAGCTTGAATTCGTTCCAAGCTGCTGTGTCGACTTATTGCATGAAGGTCATGTTCCCCGTGGGGAATGAGGTTGGAGAGGTGATAGGAGATTAGCTGTAATCTGTTGGGTTCTGTTAGGAACGACAACGACATGCACATTTGAATTTGAAAAAATAAACCCTAATGCAGCAAAATCTATAGTTAAGGTTAGGACATTGCCGTTTAAAATTGTCGTCGACTCAGATACATTTCTGATTTCCTCTTTAGTAGATCGTTTGAACCGCAGAGTCCGTTGGGCAGCCGGACTATTCCTCCTTGATCGGAATCGGGTCGTCGGGTCACGAACGGTTCACCGGGTCAAGAGCTTGTCGGGTTCGGGCCGGTCGAACACGGTTGGGCTCGGTCGGTCACGACAGGACTCAGTTGGCCTCGATTCAGGTTATTGCAGCTCGGTTGTGGGTCTGCTGGTCATGCCTGGTTGCGGTCAGTCGCACACAGGTGGTGCGGCTCGTTGGCAGGGCGCGTCGCAGTCAGGTGGACGGGTGTTGTGGGCGCGGGTTGACAGCGAGGTGCTCAGGCGCGTGCGGGTGCTGCACTGTAGTTTTCCTTTGCCTGGGCGGACTAGCGCGCGCAGACATGGACGGCAAGGCAAACGGGCGCAGACAGGTGCACGCGAGGAACATGGAAAGTGGCTACGCGCGCGTACGGGGACTGCGTGCAGGCGTCGCTGGGAGCTTGTAAGTGCGCCTGGCGGCGTGCGGCTGCCTGCGGGTGGGCGCGGATGGCTTCCGGCGGCGACAATTTCCAGAGGCGAACGGTGGTCTGAGGTGGCCGGAATCTCACGATTAAAAGGCTTGAATAAATTGTACCTTAAAGCCTTCTAATGTATTATCCAAACACCTACTTCGACTAATCTTGGTGGTGCGATTAAACGAATCTCCCTTACTCTCGAATATATGAAGATCACAATTTTCCTCTTCCTATTAAAACCTTAAAATCGTGCTCTTACATGTGTAGGGGAAGAGATTGGGTCATGGTGTATTTATAGGCTACATTAGCGACCTTAAGGAGGTGCTAAATATGAGCTTATCCCATTATGTTTAGGAATCCTAATTATGTTCCATATCTTTCCAATCTAGGAGTCCTATTCCTCCTAACCCTAATCACCCTTCTAGAAGACTCCAAAGTCTCCTAACCATAGGGTAATATTTTAGAAGGAATATTCCTCTCCTAATGGAATCTAAATTACGAAATATAATTAATTCTTAGATAGAATTAAATAATAAAACATCCCACTAGAGTAATATTATTGATATCCCCATTTAGATCTAATTTATTCAATAAATTTAAACCTCCATTTGATTAATTAATATTAATTTAATTGATAGATTTATCTCTCTATGTGTAAGATATAACGTTCGTCGATAATTTAATTACTGACAATAAAATTAAATTGACTTCTTATCATTTTCAAAACTAGTACCACTCAGTTCATTAATCATTATGCCGGATAATTATCCACCTGCAGGATTTGACATAATATTCCTTTCTGGGCTCATTTCGGGGACGTAATCAACCTAGGACACTGAAACATAGTGACTATAAATAATTTATAACAGCACATCATATAAACACTGTTACTTACCAAAATACCGAGTATGTCATCCTAACAGAATATGAATCTCCCTTGGTAAATCAAATAAATAAGTAATAAATATATATGCGCATTTTATATTATCTTATAGCTTAAGAGTACGCATTGAAGTTCTAGATTATAACAACGATCAGTATTTATAATCCTATCCTTCCGCGGTCCGTTCAATACTTATCATAAGTACTAGTGCAACCCATTAGTCAAAGACCAACTGAATCAAGATTACATTATAGTCTTTTTCCATCAGGGGTCTCAGTGCCTGTCTAGACTGTGAACAATTAACTTATATTTTACAAAGAACCGATAATAAGATCTTTCTGTTCGACACGACGAACCATATTATCTACAATGTAAATTAATGGAGTTATGATTGCTTAAATAAATAAACTGAAAACATAAATATTTTGATTAAAACATGATTGACAGATCAAAACATAACTGTCAATATCTGAAAGCCAAGCTTTTATAGCATATCCTAACAATCTCCCACTTATGCTTAATAAGCTCATGTCTATCACTAACCACGATTCTCTTTCAATCTAATTCTCAAAGACTAGTCTACTATGTCGCCCTAACGTCTGACTCTCATTCATTCTACGTGTCTTTAAAAGACTTTCTCCGGTAGGCTCTTCATAAAAGGATTTTCTAGGTTGTCCTCTGACAGTATCTTTGCAACCACGACTTCCCCTCGTCCAACAATTTCTCATATCAGGTGATACTTGTGCTCTATGTGTTTACTCGCTTTATAAGTCCGTGGCTTCTTCGAATTTGCTACTGCTCCGCTGTTATCACAGAAAAAAGTAATCGCAAGGGGTAAACTTGGCACCACATCAAGGTCGAGGAGAAAATTCCTGAGCCAAACCGCTTCTTTCGCTACCTCTGAGGCTGCTACATATTCAGCTTCCATGGTGAAGTCTACCACGCATTTCTGCTTCACACTCCTCAAAACAATGGCTCCTTCTCCTAAAGTAAACCCAAACCCTGAGGTTGACTTTCTTTCATCCCGGTCTAGCTGGAAGTCAGAATCAATGTAACCCAACGGAAGCAACTCATCTACCTGGTAAACCAACATGTACTCATTAGTCCTTCTCAGGAACTTGAGTATATGTTTTCCCGCAGACCAATGTTTTGATCCTAGATTACTTTGATATCTGGCTACCATGCCCACGGCATAACAGATATCGGATCGTGTGCACAACATTGCATACATAAGGCTTCCTATTGCCGACGCATAAAGATCTGCCTTCATGTCCTCTATCTCTTGAGGCGTCTTAGGAGACATCTTCTTAGACAAAGGGATTCCATGTTGAAAAGGTAATTGCCCTTTCTTCAAATCTTGCATGTTAAAACGGTCCAAGACAATATCTATGTATGTGGATTGGGATAGGCACAACTTTCTCTTCTCTCAGTCTCGCATGACCTTGATTCCGAGAACATTCCTACTTCTCCCAGACAGGGGCGTAGCCAAAAATCTTTTTTACCCGGGGCTGCATATTATTGTAGCTATTATTGGAACCGAGTAGACATGGTCATGGGCCGACCCAGCCTGTTGGTTTGGGCCGAACCGAGACAAACTGATCCGTTGACCATGTGTCTTGAACCGGCCCGTGGTTTTGACCAGTTCTGGTACAATACTTTATAGTTTATACATTTTGAACCGGCAGTTTCAGTTCTGAACTTCAACCGGAAATATATAATTTTTTAGTTGGTTTTTATTTTATTTTTAATGAACCGGACGACCAAGAACCGACAGTTCAATGAATCGGCCCGTGCATATGTTCGCGCCGGTTCAGGGTCCTCCAACTCTCGGCCCAGGATCGGTGATTGCAACCCGTAGCCAGTTTTGGTGATCATGACTAAAACCAAATTATCTGATAACATATGTCGGTTTGAATTGGGAAAACTCAATCTCGACGTGCTTATATATTTAAACAAGTCAAACCCAATTAACTAATCGAACTTGTCGATCAAACAAATAGAGTCGAGCATGTTTGCACTCAACTCTGTAAGAATTTTTTCTTTGTCTAGGTGTAACGTCCCGGTGGGGTCCACTCTCTCTCGGGCTGGCCCACCGGCCCGCTATGTATAATTTTTTTTTAAAAAAAATAAGATTAGCAACTTTTTTTTAGCACATGGGGCTGGAGCCCACCGTAGCCCTAGGGTGGCTCTGCCCTTACTCTCAGATCCTTCATATCAAACTGCTTGGATAACCATAACTTTACGTCTGATAACTTCTTCACACTAATTCTAATGAGACGAATATCATCCACATATAGCACAAGAATCATCACTATGTTTCCATTACTTTTCTTGTACCCACAATGCTCATTCAGACATTGGGTAAATCCATACGACTGGACAACCTCATCAAAATGGATGTTACAAGACCTTGAAACTTGCTTCAGTCCATAAATAAATCACTTCAGCTTACAAACCAGATGCTCTTATCCCTTTGTAATAAACCCTTCTAGTTGTTGCATATAGATGTCGTCATCCAAATTCCATTAAGGAAAGCAGTCTTAACATCCATTTACCTAATCTCATAATCCATATGAGCGGCCACAGCTAAGAGAATCCTGATGGATTTTAGCATAGCTACCGGCGAAAAAATTTCCTCATAATCGATCCCTTATTTCTAAGTATACTCTTTCGCAACAAGCCTAGCCTTGAAGGTCCCAACCTTCCCACCTGATCCTCTCGTTCTCTTATAGACCCACTGGCATCCAATGACACGAAACCACTGGGAGGTTCTACAAGATCCCAGAACTGATTAGAATCCATTGATTCCATCTTAGATTTCATCGCACTTTCCCGAGATTCTGCGTCCCGATCTTGCAGTGCTTAATTATATGTCCATGGCTCAGTTTCAAGCATATTCGGGATGGCCTCTGAAGTCTCTCCTAGACCCAAGAACCGATCAGGCTTCCTGGCAACCCTCCCACTACGACGAGGTACTATCTGCTCAGGTGCATCATCAGCGATACGAGTTACAGTACTTTATGGTGTAACATCAAGGGCATTCGGTATTGAAGTACTCACTCCCCCTACTTCCTCTAGGACATGTCTAGCTTATGATCTGTAACATAGTCTTCTTCCAAAAATCTAGCGTTTGGAAACATCATCCACCGTCTCTCCTTGCTTGAGAGTTCCTTCACTCCTTGCTTGAGAGATTCTTCTCCTGAGGAGTTTTTCCAGTAGTCATTGCTGGGTTTCTTCCTATTGACTTTGCTCGCAGTCAATTTAGGGTTCAGGTGTCACTGATAATCTCATAGAGTCCAGTATGGAGGACGAGCTAGGGCATCGGCTTGGAAAATTCACGCTTGGAAATCACCTATATAGATATCGAGAAGACCGACATGAAACTAGGTGTCGAAGAATGTCAGCGTAGCTTGTTCGGGAAGATAGTGGGGAAACGTAAAGCGAATTGGGTTGGAATCAAGCGCACAATGAGCTTCCTCTGGAAATTGGGGAATAGTCTAGAGGTTTGAGAAATTTGCACGAACTTTTTTCAATTCCTCTTCCAGAAATGGGAAGACCTCATAAGAATCCTGGAGAGCAGAAACTGGTTATTCGAGAATCAACACCTAATTCGTAGAGAATGGCAAGAATCTCTACTAATCACTCATGCTTCAATGTGTTGACACTATGGGTTCAAGCCCATGGTCTCCTTGTCCATTGGCTCACAACAGAAGTAGGGCTAAAACTAGGTAGTTTATTTAAGAAAGTGAAATATGTCAACATGGCTAAGGCTGGTGCGCAAGGAGGCAGAATTCTAAGACTACAGGTAGACATAGACCTGCATCAACCTCTACCCCGATGGACCAAAATAAGACTGGGGGAGCAAGTGGCAAATTCAGTTTCAATATGAAAAATTGGTAAGCCTATGCTACTACTGTGGTAAAGTAGGACACACTGACAAAGGCTGTCTGAAGAAAGAAGAAGACATAGCCAATCAAGAGCTCAATGAAGGCCAATATAGGGAATGGATGAAAGCAGCAGAAGGAACTATTATCTCCAACTCTCCTCCCCAAACCCTCAAATCAGAACCAAACTCAAAAGAACCCACTCAACACAGCACATCTGCAGATGGCAGAAGAGCCTCTGAAAACCACAGACAATCCATGTCCAAGGGACCTGCAGCATCAAAAACTAGCAACCATAACCCCAGTGAAGGTAATATAAATCAAAGAATTGAGGAGTCCTCAGCATCCATACACCACTCCAACCCTAGCCCTAAAGGCAAAGAAATTGTAGTCTTCTTGCAACCTATTTCAGAGAGTCAAGAAAGTAGGCCAGAAGATCAAGAAGATGCCATTAGACTTAGAATAGAGATAGATAAACAGGTGGTGGCACTCAGAGAGTAAAAGAGAGTAAAACAAGGAATCCTCATCTCTGAACGAGAAGAACAAAACACAGCAGCTCTTGAAATGAAAAGACAAAAAAGATCGGACTCTTTGGTGGAGGTAGCCAGCCCTAAATGGCTCCCCCCCCCCAACCCCCCAATGAGAGCTATGGTGTGGAACTGTAGAGGTCTGGGTGGACCCTCTACAGTCTCCCAGATAAGAGAGGTAATTCTATCTCACCACCCAAATTTTGTATTTCTATCTGAAGTAAAAAAACAAAAACAATTTTCTTTAGAAATTTGTAAAAAGCTTGGTTTTGAGGGCATAAATCAGCTGGTAGAGCCGAATGGGACTAAAGGTGGTTTGATGCTGATGTGCGACACTTCAGTCTCAATCATTCAAATTAAAAACTCAGAATTTTCTATCCAAATGAATTACTCAATGCCAAATGACAACCAGTCGTTGTGAATAACTTTTGTCTATATTAGCACTGAAAAAGAAGCAAGAATCCAGCAATGGAATTTGCTTGAATCAGAGAAGGAAGATTGAGGAGACCTTTGGGCTATCAATGGGGATTGAAATCACATAATCTGCATGGAAGAGAAAGAATCAGGCCAGTCAATAGTTTCCAAGCATTCAACAACTTCATCTCTTCTATGGTATGGTGGAAATCACAATGACAGGATACTAGTTCATCTGGGGCAACAATAGAATGCAAGAGGGCTATGTTGAAGAAAAACTAGACAAAGGTTTTGGGTCCCTAGTCTGGTTGACAAAATATCGACAATCCCAAATCTCCAATCTGTACAGGAGTGCCTCTGACCATAGAGTATTACAATTGGAGGATAATGTCACATACGAGAAACACAACAGGAGATTTGTTTTTAACAAGAGGTGGTTACAGAGTGAAAGCTGCAATGAAGAAATTGAGAAGGCTTGGGCAATTCCTCAAGAAGGGACTTCTTTCTTCAAGCTGAAGGAGCAAATTAAAAAAACCAGAATAGCCTTGTCAAAGTGGAGCAAACTTTTCAGATCTGAACATAAAGAGAAAGTGGCTAAACTTACCCTCAAACTAGAAGAAATGAGACTGCTGGGTGAAGGCAAGAACTGGGATGAATGGGAAGCAATCAAAAAAGAGCTGGAACAGGCTCATAGCTCAAAAGAAATTTTTTGGCAGCAAAAATCAAGAGTCCAGTGGCTCAAAGAGGGTGACCAAAACACAAGCTTCTATCATGCTTACACTATGTATAGAAGGAAGCACAATGCCATTTCAAGGCTCATCTCAGAGAATTCAAGAGTCTGTGAAACCAAAGAGGCCATTGCTAAGGAAATGTCCACTTTTACAAGAACCTTTTCTCCTCTGAGGGTTCACAAGGAACAGCTGATATAATTCAACACATCCCTAGATCCATCTCATCTGACATGAATGATCAGCTAATGGCTAACATCACTGAAGAAGAAATCAAAAAATCCCTCTTCCAAATGAACCCTCTGAAGTTCCCAAGAGAAGATGGGATGACTCCTCTATTCTGTCAACACTACTGGTCCCCAAGAGAAGATGGGATGACTCCTCTATTCTGTCAACACTACTGGCCCATTATCAAAGATGATCTCTGTGCTGCTGTTGTGAGCTTCTTTTCATCAGCTTAAATTCTCAGGTACTGGAATCACACACTCATCACTCTGATCCCAAAATGTCTAAACCCAACATCAATTTCCCAGTTAAGGCCCATAAGCCTATGTAGTGTGGTGTACAAGTTGATTGCCAAGATCTTGGCATCAAGACTCAAATTCTGCCTACATGACTGCATAAGTTCTTCCCATGGTGCTTTCTTGACTGGTAGAAATATTCTTGACAACATCATCATTGCCCAGGAAGCTTTCCACTACATGAACAGACACAGAACAGGGCCACACAGCTTCATGGCCCTCAAACTATATATGATGAAGGCATTTGATCATGTTGAGTGGAGTTGCATGAAAGCTATAATGTAGAAAATGGGATTTGGGGCTACCTTCATCAAATGGATCTTTGCCTGTATTTCAGCCACATCATTTTCCTTTCTTCTTAATGGGGAAGTTGTGGGCTACATAGAACCATCTAGAGAATTGAGACAGGGGGACCCCCTTATCTCCTTATCTCTTCCTCATTGTATGTGAAGCTCTTTCAGCCTTGATCAACAATGCAGTCTCAAGTTCCCTCTTCAAAGTGTTAAGATTGTCCAGAGGTGGGCCCACATTGTCCCACCTTCTATTTGCATATGACTCTTTAGTCTTTTGCAAAGCGACACAAGACAAGCTCAGCTCCTAATGGACATCCTCAGAAAGTACCATCTTTTCTCAGGACAGAAAGTGAATATGTCAAAATCCACAGTCTTCTTCAGCAGGAACACACCCTCAACCACCAGAAGCAATATCACCCAGATCTTTTGCAACACCCCGCTTCTATAGGGCTAATTTTTTGCAAATTTCAACTCTTTCGAAAACGCTTATAAATTTTTCGAAATCATTAGCAAACTATCTCGGGATGCTGCTAAAACGTTTCTGCTTAAAAATCCATTTTCTTTAAACTAGGTCTAATGGCTGGTTTAGACTTAAAGAAATCAGATTTATATTTTATCGAATCATGCATATTAATCTGGACCCTTTCGTACTGGCGAACTGGGTAAAACTTTTAAAGTCTGAAATACTGTCATGCATGATCGAAAATAAACATAGCGGAAGTCTGAAATGCGTGGTTATAATATTTTGCAAAACATGGTAAACAAATGTCCCGAATCGGCTAGCTGTGCCAACTCCGCGACCACAACTCCCACAGCTGGACTCACGCCTGCCCGCCGACCCTGCCATCTGAAAATATAAAGTGGGGGTGAGTACGGTCCACTTGTACTCCATAAAAACCCATTCTAAAGTAAACAGCAATAATAATAATGATATCACAGATCCGGTATATATAAGTAACTGAAACTCCTGGACACTATGGCTGGTAACTGTAATCTCCCGGACACTCTGGCCGGTAACTCTCGGACACTCTGGCTGGTACCGTGTGCACACTCTGATGGTATATTTAAGGTGAACTGGGCCACCACCAGAACTTAGGGTAGGACAACTTGGCCTTAACCCCAAGCGGATAAAACTCATATACATACCTGAACGTGATATCGACTATTATACTCAATGTATAACCCAGACTGGGTCCCCACCTGATTTGCTTTGGAAAATATGTAAGTGCGGCTGTGCTGGTAGCTGACTCCTCAAGCTACATACAAATATAAGCAAACAAATATACTAAGTACTATGCTCGTCATATGCTTAATAATATGCTAGGATGCTCTACTCTATCAGATTACTCATCCGGATGTAAAGGAACGCTCTATGGGTTCACTAAAATAATTCTAAGTCCGAAAATTAGACCGATGTGCTCAACTGATCTGGTTTGGCTCGGAAAATCACTTAAATTTCAGAATAAGACTCGGACCGAAAAATCACAAACCAAAACTGACTCGAACCGCCGACTAAACCGGACAGTTCGCTCACTAACTGAACCGGGTCGAGCTGAACCGGACCTGGTCGGACCACCGGTTCACTCTGGACCGGGTGATCACGGGCTACTCGGACTGGCCGGGCTGGGTCCCGTGCCGGGCCTGCCGGGGCCCTAACACGGCGCTAGGCACGAGCTGGGTGCGACCGGCCTCGGTGTTAGGCGCTGCTGGGCGCGGGTGGTGCGGCTGGCACGGGCCCTGGCACGACTGGTGCCACTAGGTGCTGCTGGGCACGGCGTCTTGGGTGCGACTAAGGCTTGTCAGGGCGCTGCCGGGCGACCCTGGGCATGCGGGCGTGCTGCTGGGCACGGCCCGAGGCCTCTGAACACGGCTCGGGTTCACTAAGGCGCGGCACTGAACACTCGGGTGCGCTGCTGGCACGACCCGAGGTCAACTCCGCGTGGCACGAGCGTCTGGCTCGAGGTCACGCGTGCACTGACGCTGGGACAGCGCTGCCGAGCGCTGTCGGAGGTGCTCTGGCGCGACTGGCGCTGAGACCTCGCTGGCTGGCACGGACAGGCGCTGCTGGGCGCTCAGACCTCGCTGGCTGGCATGGACAGGCGCTGCTCAGAGCTCTTGATATTGCAGAGGATAGCAGCAGCAGAATCATTGACAACAATGTCAGACAGAGAACTTAGAAACTCAGGGTGAAAGGAAAAATTAAGCATTTCATCTGGAAATGCTTTTCTGGCATTCTTCATGTCTGCATTAATCTAAGGAAAACGGGTCTCATGGTTGATTCAATCTGTAGACACTGTGGTGAGGCTAATGAAACCATTGAACACATTCTCATTACCTACAACAGAGCCAAAGAAGTGTGGAAGCTCTCACCTCTGACTTGGGATGGCATTGATACAGAGAATTGCAGCTTCAAAAACTGGTGGTGGCAAGTTTGCTCAATCCCCAATACAGATGTCTCAGAAGCCAAAATCCAGCTAACCACTTATATTCTATGGTGGTTATGTCGACCGAGGAATCTCTGGATATTCAGCAAGGAGAGGATGCCTGTGCACTCTGTGGTCAAAAGAGCTCAACTGGAGTGGCAAGAGTTCTGTGATCTAATGTCATTCTGACTACTCCTGATTCTGTGTTTTGCTACTTCTTTTGGTTTCCTTTTCTTCTGTTATTGCACTGCTGGTTTTCTGTTTCAGTTTTCTAGTTATGTAGTTGTTTGGATTCTTATGTTTTGTTATTTTGTCTTGAGGATGTTGAAGTTTCTAGTGGTCTTTCCTAGCTTCAAATTCCTGTT